GAACTGATTGTTTTTACTGGTTTTCATTTTGTATTTTTTGTTTGCAAAATGTCGCGGTAAGCAAGAGTCGCCACCGACTTTTATTTCGTCCAATCAGGAAAAGGAAAAAGAACAGAAAAAAACCTTTTTCGAGATATTCTGAGTATGGGGGGTAGATTATAGAAAGGGAAGGTGTTATCACCCTTTCTATCCATGGTTTTCCATGGGCTCTTAGGTACTTGCTCATTTTTCAAATTGCTTGTGTGTGTTTGTCTTGAAAATGTTTTACTTTGTGATAACCCTTGTATCATTCCTCAAGGATGTGACAAAGTCTATTTTGAAAATTTGTTTTGAAAGGTGTTTGTGTGAAAAGTTTTTATTGAGCAAGTGCTTAAGATTCTACCTACTCGAAAAAAGATTGTTTATTCTCGTTTCCTTTAGACAGCGCTATCCTACTATTAAGGAGTAGGTGGCACCGTTGTTGGAGTTGTAAGGGACATTCAAAAGGGACAAGTACAGTCACCAAAGCAACAGTTAGAAAACTTTAGTAGTAACCCTAGAGTCTTAAGATATTTCCGAGGCAACATTTCCAAGGAAACATTCGAATGGGACATTTTGATCTCTTAGACAGGAAGGCAACCACTAAAATCTCCTATGCTTAATGATTGTTTACCGAAGGCAACCGAAGTGAGGTAAACCCTAGGAGTGAATATGTGCATATGAATTGTTTCAGTTATTTAATCTTTGCACATTAGGTGATTTACCATTTAAATTTCCAAATATTCTTGCCATACAATCCTATTAGCATACATCTAGACAGTTAAATATTTGCAGGAATTTAAAAGTGCGAGAAAATAAACCTAGCTATTACAAGGCTTCGGGGGATGGGGATTAATTACATAACCAAAGTATCGGGGATTAAAGCATTAAATAAAACCATAGTTTAACTATTACAAACCATTGGCAGTTACAAAAATAATGGAGAAGAAATAATTAAATGCACGGAGAATTAAATACGAGGGATGTTGAAAAATAACCTAAACCCTAATTGAAAGGAAATTTTTTTTTGTATATTTATTATTGGAGAAAACAGTGAAATTGCAATTTAAATAAAACCCTAATTTCTAATTACTTTTTAATTATGAAAAAGTATTTAAGTTAACCTAATTGATTAAAATAAATATTTAATGAAAAAATGGTTTTGGTGTATTTTTAAAGAAAATTAATTAAATTATGTACAATTCAAATCCTAAGTCTAATTATTTTTAATTATAAAAAAGAGATTAAATTGCCCTAAGTTAATTAAATTAAATTAATTAGGAAATAAAATATTTTTATTAAAAAAAGATTTTTGTGATTTATTGTGATATTTGATTAAAAAAAGAAAATGATTTTTGGGTTAATTAATTAAAATAAATAAAAGAGATTGATTAAAGAAATTAAAAAGAAAATAGAAAAGAAAATGCAAACTGGGCCTGTATGCTAGCAAAGGGGGGGGGGTGCCAATCTGAATTTTTTAGGCCCAAAACGCTTCAAGCCTAGTCAGCATTTGGTGCCTTGTAGCATTATCTTGAGGGCGTATCATAGTCCCTCACTGCTAGAGCATTGGATCTGATAGCATGCCTGATCAAGCGACTGGACGCAAGGATGTATGGTGAACACCAGGACGAGTGATGCGCTGGATCTGTTGAAAGAAAATAACATAAAGGAAATGCTGGGACCTGGGGTCGAACCCAGGTCCTTATGCTTAATACCAATTCCTCATTTCCAGCTACGCTACGCGTTTTAGTTGTTAGTATAAGGAAAAAAAATATAATGTAAATCCCTGATTCCCAAGCGCGCGAATTTTCAAATGGGCGAATGGCTGGCTGACACATAACCTTCTTCTACCTTTCTCCGTCGCTTTAGGTGCTTGTACCTTTACCTACAGACAAAGGTTTGTAGCTACAAACCTGTAAAACTCAAAAATCCACAAAACGCAAGATAAATGAAATCGAACTATATAGATCAACTCGTTTTGATCTTGTGAACATCTTGGTAACCTACTTTTTGCCCAATTTAACCTGTAGAACAAACCCTTAAACTGCACACACAAACCCTAACAATGGCAAAGGCACGTATAGGCTTCAAAAAATGCAATTAAATTATTCAGTTAGGTTGCAAACACGATGAGGATCACAAATATATAACTTAAACACGCTAATGATGCAAGAAATACAGTAACGATTTTGAAATAAAAGGAAAACCGTATGAATGCTAGGGGGAGATTTTGGGCGTGAGAATGCGTGCAACTAATCGTATTAGCTTCTGGGAAGGTCCAAGAAATGATTGGAAGCGTTGGAATGGCTTGAATTAATCTCTAAGTTCAAAAACGATCCAACACTTTTTGTCACTTTTTTTTAATTTTGTTTGGTGTTTTCACGACTGCAAAACCTTCTCTTATGCTTTGTTATTGTCCATTTTATATCTAGGAATGAATTAGGGTTGCAAAATTGGACTGAATCTTTTCAATTATGAGAGATTTGATTTGATTTTCATGCTACATAAAACTTGCTATTTTGAGCCAAATCATCCCTTTCTTGTACCAATTATGCTTGATTCGTTTTGGCCTTGATAACTCAACATATTTTGAATGCCAACCTGTCCAAAAACCAAACCAAATCATATCTTTGCTATTATTCATCAATAATTTGATTTAATTCAATTTTTAATTAATCAAAAATAAAAATAAATTGAAAAATGAAGCAAATAATGTGTGGGTGAATATTTAAGTCGTGGACCACATAATAAGTGAGGTGCAAGCATAAAAAGTTAGGCCCATTTTACAAAAAATTCATTCTTGAGCACATTTGACTTTTGGCAATTTTGCAAAAAAGGTCAACTTTGACAAGGCATATCTCTTCCAATTTTAAACCTAGAGAGGTGTTCTTCGACTTTTTGGAAATATTAGGATGGTCCCAAAGCAACCCTTTTGGTCTATTCTCAATTGAGTATTCCATGTTCATGTAAGAAGCTTTGATCCAAAAGGTGTTTTTGTTGACTTTTCAAAAGGACCCATAATGTAGAAATTCATATCTTTTTGTGGGTGCATATTTTGAACTTGTGGGAGGTAATTTCATCCACTTCAAAATGAGCCTTGGATGGAAAATATCTGATGAAGCATGTGGAAGTTATGCTTGGTCAAATTTTGGTTGACTTTTACAAAGAAACCCTAATTTAGCAACTTTTGGTTTTTGATGAATTTGGAGCATTACTTGGGGAATCATGATCAGCCCTTGATCAAATGATGAAATTCACTTCAAAATGTTAATGTTGACCAAAAATCTTGAAGTTTGATTGTATGTGGGTCACAGTTGACTGTTGACCTAATATAGTTGATTCTCAAGCATCTGAGCAGTTGACTGAGCAAACTTCTTGTGCAAAGCATGAAACTTGACATGTAGGGTCTTGATAACATATTAAGACCATGGATAGCATATGAGGCCTTTGTGGTTCACCCATCTTAATGAAAATGGAAACCCTAATTTGAGGTATACTGCCTTAGAAGAGAGTTTGTCTGGTCAACTCTTGGGCAAACTTGAGAAAATTGAGGATATCTAGGGGTATGTATTGAGAATAATGAGAGGGAAAATTTTGGGGTACAACAACTGCCCCTGTTCAATCTTCTTAAACCTAAGGATGTAGATTGGCTCGTCTGCCTTTCGTGATCTGAAGGTGGAAGATGATTGAACACTAGAGTGCCCAGAAATTTGCACTCGCATAAAATGGAACTTGATTTGTGATATCGAGAATGGGCTTATAGATGCCATTTGGAAGTCGATAATAGAAGATTGTCAGAGATGGGCTTAAAGATGCCATCTCGAGGATGTTAATTTCGTGAGACATTCCTTCGATGAGAGTTCCTGTTACTATTGTCGATGAGGAATCTGCTGAGGAATGTTGGTATCTGTCTTGGGAGAAATAGAATTTTAGGAGCTTCAATTGTCTGTTACTCTACTGGGGAAATAACTCCGACTTGAGGAAGCTGAAGCGAATTGCACATTTGGTAAGGGTATATGCTGCACCGCGACTTACTGGGGAAATGCGAAACCAATCGCGTTTGATCAGGTCCAAGTCTTACAATGTTGTGGACTGCTGTCTGGAGATAAGAGAGAAGGAACCTGGATAGTAAGGTTATGAGAAGGAATCTGGATAATAGGGTTGCTTCGGTATGAAAGCCTGGACAGTAGGGCTGTGAGAAGGAACCTGGATAGTAGGTTTACTTTGATATGAAAGCCTGGATAGTAGGGCTGTGAGAAGGAACCTAGATAGTAGGGTTACTTCAATATGAAAGCCTGGATAGTAGGGTTGTGAGAAGGAACCACTACTAAAAAAAAGACATTTGAGAAAATGTTTTTACATCGGGTATCAAAATATATGATGTAAAAAATACAATTAACAAACTTTTTACATCAGGTATTTATTTGCAATGATATAAAAAATATGAAAAAATATATATTTCGCTACCTATTACATCGGGCAAACGCATCCACCGATGTAAAAAGTTTTCAGAAAAAAATACGGTGGCATTTTTGTAAATAAGAAACAAAGTAGTAGAAATATTAATAAAAAACATGCAACATATTACATCGGTTGACTAAACACCGATGTAATATCTTCACAACAGATATTAATATAAAAAATAAATTAAAGAATAAATTAATTTTTTTGTAACTTATTACATCGGGTATTACAATGCACCGATGTAATAGGTGTACCCTTACATCGGGTATTAAATGCACCGATGTAATAGGTGCATTGTAAAAAAAAAAAAAAAAACTGTATCTAAAGCAAATCACCAAACCCATCTCTTATCTCTCACCTCACTCCATCATCCTCCAAACCAATTTCTCCTTTTCATAAACCCTATTCCCAATCTTCTAAACTTCAACTTCAATTTCTCCACTTCCCATTCCTAAAAGAAAAACCATACTATTATCATTATTATCCAAAACTCAAAACTGGAGTTCCTTCCCTGAGAAATGCCAAGTGTGGCTGTAAAACTCTACAGCGTATTCTTCAAGTTCCTCTTGAAGCACCGTTTACAAAACCGGATTCAAGCCCAACCCGACAATAACTCCAACTCGTTTGGTATCACTTCACGACCCGAAGAATCCGTCGCTAACTCTAACCCTTCTTTTACCGACGGCGTCGCCACCAAGGATATCCACATCGATCCTTTCACTTCTCTCTCTATCCGAATCTTTCTTCCTCACTCCGCTCTTTCTCCTCCCAAGCCTCATTCCAAACCTAACTCCAAACCTAAACAACAAGCTCCCGAACCTGGATCTGTACGGAGAAGTAGCTATGGTCCTCCGTTCAGGGAAGAGCAGCTCCGAGGGAGGAATAGTAACGCTGTTGAGGGTTTGAATTTGATGGGCGCTGGTGTTGAAACCGGTGCCGGTTTGTACCGTGGTTACTCGCCGGCGTTGGATAATCGGCGGAGGAAATTACCGGTGATGTTGCAGTTTCATGGTGGGGGGTGGGTTAGTGGTAGTAATGATTCGGTGGCGAACAATTTGTTTTAATGCTCTTTCCAGATTCTAATAAAAATAGGGTCGCGATGGATGTTATTAACAACTTAATAGCACATTGCAGTTGGATGAATATACACATTGTCCCACCACACGGAGCTGTCTTTGAAATAAGAGTTGCTGATGGATATGGTGCTCGTTGGAATGAAGATGGAAGTAAGGTGTGTGAATACACTAAATTCTGGTGTTTATGTTAGTTTGTTCAAATTTTAGCACTATATGTAGTATTGGACTTACATTTGAATCATCAAACTACTTCTTTTCAATGTATTTGTTTTTCAGTTTATTGGATTTTTAGAACCATACATGCAAGATGGTCATTCAAAAGGATGGAAGCATTAGTTCTGCTAGCCAATCTTCCCAAGATCATAGCAGCCAGCAACACCTATGTAATTGAATACCACTTTTCCATTTTAGCTTGTGATTATGTGTATTATATATATTTTTATCTCTACTATTTGGCACTGCTATTTAGCTAACAACTAGTTCTCATACCCTTATAAATGATATGTTTTATGTTGGATCTCGTGTATTGGGGCGGGAGTTTACTGCAAAATATGAACATGAAGAATATTGAAGATGACACGATAATAGTTGCACAAATAAGTATCGAAGTTTTTTGTGAACACACTAAGCTTAAAGTTTGATTACCTTCACTAATTTTGACAAATTAGATGCAAATGGATAAACCGACAAATCTCTTTCTGAATAGTTTAGAAACCTTAACGTCAATCATATACCTCATATACCTGCTTTTAGCTGTTGATGTAGCATTAGTTGGGAGGTACAGACCAACCAACCTGTAATTGTCTCTCTTTGTTTGCATGCATTTGTGTAGCCGTGTTTTCGTGAATAAACAAGTAGGATGTGTGAAGTTTGGCCAAACTGTTTCAACAGCCAAACCATAGAATGATAGAAACATCTTTAATCAAAGGCAACAATGTCCATGTCTCCTATTTTAAACGTTATTGTTTGCTTTATTTTTATTTTATTTTATTAATGCACTTGATCGTATTTTTGTCAATTCCCAATATTGATCCCTTCATTTTTTCTATGTTAATTCTCATGATCAGTATCAAATTGTTGTTGTTAAATATGGTAATTTGGTTTTCGTTTCCTAATAATAGTTTCTTCTAATCATTCTGCATCTATGAATAGCAGCCACCGGAAAAGTGACACCGACACCGACACATTGACATCAACACCGACAAGTTAACACCAGTAATAATTTGAAAAACAGGAATAAAACAGGAGTAATTTTGGATTAAAAAATGTCAATTTAACTATATTGCCTGCAATTTTTGCTACTTTGAGGTTTACAGGCACATAAATAAACTTATTTGATCTAATCTATGGACAATTTTTCAAAAGAGTTTATGAAAATGGTTTATGGCATGGCGTGTCTAATTATATCTATAAGCTATTTTCAGATTATGTTTATATACTCTTCAAAGAAAACTTATGAAAACGGCTTATAATTTATGAGACTTTAATTTTGATTTTATGTTATAAGGGGTAGCGGCGCAACTTGTTGTCCGTTGCATGCTATTTCTGTATAATATTGATTATATTTTAACTTATTTTTTTACAAATGTATACATCATCTGAATTTATGAAGTTGTTAATCCCATTATGGCCATAGTATTCTTTATATTTCATTTTAGAGTTTGTAATCTATTTTTTTTTATAAAAATAAATAAAGAAGAAAGGTTAGTTTAATGTTTTACTAATTATTTATTTATTTTATGTGGCACAGAATAATTCTTTACCATTCAACAAATATGCATTTTTGACAACACATAATGCATTTGCCATTGAAGGGGAACCATCTCACACAGGTGTGCCTAGATTTACAGTCAACAACCAAGAACACAGCATCACTCAACAGCTAAATGTATGTGCTATTCACATCAATATTTCTAAAGTATATAGTTTAAATATTTTTAATCTTTTATTTCTAACAATTTAGTTTCAATATTTATTTATTTGTAGAATGGAGTTCGTGCACTTATGTTAGATACATATGATTTTGATGGAGATGTATGGCTATGTCATTCGTTTAAAGGTCAGTGTCATGATGTTACAGCATTTGTATGTAAAACTCATAATCCTACTTTAATTTAACGAAGTATATTGGTTGCAGAAGATTTATATATGAAGCTCTAATAATTAATTTATGATAAACTATTAGGAACCGGCTATTGATACGTTGAAGGAAATTGAGGCATTTTTATCGGCGAATACAAATGAAATTGTGACAATTATATTGGAAGATTATGTTGAATCTCCAAATGGTTTGACAAAGGTTTTCAGTGATGCTGGTCTTAAGAAGTATTGGTTTCCATTGGCTAGCATGCCAAAAAATGGTGAAAATTGGCCATTAGTTAGTGATTTGGTTGCTAAAAACCAAAGGTTAGTAGTGTTTACTTCTAAAAAGGGTAAGGAGCAAAGTGAAGGCATTGCTTACCAATGGAATTACATGGTTGAAAATCAATGTAAGAAAACATCTCTTTAATCTCTTCATTTATTTATCTTTTTCTAGTTAGTTAGTATTAGGTTATTGATAGAGATTAAGGTAATCTCAAATGCATTCATGTTGGGTTGCAAATGATTTTTCTGGTGTGAGACTGAAGAAATCTTGGCATGCTTGAAGCTTGTTTGATAGAACATTTGTCAATGTATTTGTGACACCAATTTTGCAGGTATTCATGCTTCAATTTCCAGGCATGCTCTTTGTGGATGTCGTTTGGTGTATATGTAACTGGTGTGCTCTTTCAGACAGCTGCTTTTGTCTCCTTTTTGCTTATTTCTCATGGTTACTGTATAATGTGCGAGCACCTTTCTTTAAATGAACGTCGTTCCACTGCCGCACTTGCATGTGTCTTTTACTTGACTCTAGTTGGTTACAAGGCTTCTGTTCCATACTTCACAGTAAGTTTCTTAGATGGTCGTTATAATATGCAATCCGATTGAAACTTCTTTCTGTTTTGAATGGAGCATTTGAGATTTATAATAAACATGTTTAGTTTTATGATGCTAATCCATATTTAAATAAATGTACAGGTGCTTCTGCTTCTAAATTATTTTATTTCATTCTATGTAATATTCCACCATATATCCCAAAACCTACTAGTGTTGCGAGAACAGTTGAGCATTATTGAAAATGAGGATGTTCGAGCAATGCATGATGCTGTGTATAAAAAGTACATAATGTTCAAGTAAGTGTCACATCTGGGAAGTGTATATTATAAATAGTTGAATATTTTTTGTATATTGGTAATTTAAGTTTGGAAACTTATAAATAGTTGAATATTTTTTGTATATTTTGTGAATAATATGTAATTGTAAGTTTTGAAAAAAGACTTATAAATAGTTGAATATTGTTGTATATTTTGTGAAGAATTTGTAATTGTAAGTTTGTTGTAATACAATACAAGTTTGCAATACAATTGTTCAATTTGTAAGTTTGTTGTGAAAAATATGAAAACATCGACCTAGATGTGATGTTGGAAAGCTATGAAATCTATATAGCGACATAAATATAGTCTGTGTGATATTGGAAAAATATGAAAAAATGGGTACAAATTATATTTGTACAGGGAAACATCCAGAAAATAAATAATCTATTCCAAAAAAATTTCATACATTTTACATCGGTTATTAGTAAAAACTGATGTAAAAACTTTCAAAAAGGGACTTTTTACATCGGTTGGGGATAATAACCGATGTAAAAAGTCGCGTCACTGGGGACTTTTTACATCGGGTATTACTTCTAACCGATGTAAAAAACTGGATCAATTTTTTAAAAAAATGTGCATAATAACTGTTTCTTACATCGGTTCATATATTATAACCGATGTAAAAAAGGGACTTTTTACATCGGGTATTACTTCCAACCGATGTAAAAAACTGGATCAATTTTTTTAAAAATATGCATAATAACAGGTTATTACATCGGTTCTGATATTATAACCGATGTAAAAAAGGGACTTTTTACATCGGTCCCAGAACCGATGTAAAAAGTCCCTGATTTACTATATCGCCTGACTTTACATCGGATCCAGAACCGATGTAAAAAGTCAATTTCACCCGATGTAAAAAGTCATTTCTGCACTAGTGAACCTGGATAGTAGGGTTACTTCGATATGAAAGCCTGGATAATAGGGTTATGAGAAGGAACCTGGATAGTAGGGTTACTTCAATATGAAAGCCTGGATAGTAGGGCTGTGAGAAGGAACCTGGATAGTAGGGTTACTTCGATATGAAAGCCTGGATAGTAGGGCTGTGAGAAGGAACCGAGGTCGTAAGGTTACTTCGATATGAAAGCCTGGATAATAGGGTTGTGAGAAGGAACCTGGATAGTAGGGTTACTTTGATATGAAAGCCTGGATAGTAGGGCTGTGAGAAGGAACCTGGATAGTAGGATTACTTCGATATGAAAGCCTGGATAGTAGAGCTGTGAGAAAGAACCTGGGTCGTAGGGTTACTTCGATATGAAAGTCTGGATAGTAGGGTTACTTCGATTTGAAAGCCTGGATAGTAGGGTTGTGAGAAGGAAACTGGATAGTAGGGATACTTTGATATGAAAGCCTGGATAGTAGAGCTGTGAGAAGGAACCTGGGTCGTAGGGTTACTTCAATATGAAAGCCTGGATAGTAGGGCTGTGAGAAGGAACCTGGGTCGTAGGGTTACTTCGATATGAAAGCCTCAATAGTAGGGTTGTGAGAAGGAACCTGGATAGTAGGGTTATTTTGATATGAAAGCCTTGATAGTAGGGCTGTGAGAAGGGACCTGGATAGTAGGGTTACTTCGATATGAAAGCTTGGATAGTAGGGCTGTGAGAATGAACCTGGATAGTAGGGTTACTTCGACATGAAAGCCTGGATAGTAGGGTTGTGAGAAGGAACCTGGGTCATAGGGTTACTTCGATATGAAATCCTGAATAGTAGAGCTGTGAGAAGGAACCTGGGTCGTAGGGTTACTTTGATATGAAAGCCTGGATAGTAGGGTTGTGAGAAGGAACCTGGATAGTAGGGTTACTTCGATATGAAAGCCTGGATAGTAGGGTTGTGAGAAAGAACTTGGATTGTAGTGTTGCTTCGATATGAAAGCCTGGATAGTGGGGTTGTGAGAAGGAACCTGGGTCTTAGGGTTACTTCGATATGAAAGCCTCGATAGTAGGGCTGTGAGAAGGAACCTGGGTCGTAGGGTTACTTAGATATGAAAGCCTGGATAGTAGGGTTGTGAAAAGGAACCTGGATAGTAGGGTTACTTCGAAGCGATAATATAGATTAGTTGACCCGTTTGATTTTGGAAACTGAGTTTCCGTTAGTCGTCTGCAAACGTGACTTGTATAACTGCTAAATTTGTTGAAGCTAATTCTCTTTTCCTGAAAAGATATCAGGGTTAGTTATATGCGATGCATGAAATGCAGGGTGAGATGATGTTCTCAAAATAAATGAGATTATGCTGTATATGATATGTATGCGTATGTCATAATGTATGTTCATGAAATGCTATCGGGGTATGCTCGCGTCTTGGGAAAATAAATCCCTGACAGTTGCTGGAGATTTGTAAATATTCTATCGGGAAGGGATGTTGGAGAATAACTCTGCAGGGACCAAATATAGGAAGTGAACTTCTGTTGGTAGGCCTGCTGATCTGGAGGAAATAAATCAGTTGGGGATGAAATTCCGTTGATGGAAATGATGAGCTCTGTTGGAGATTGAGCTTCTATATCTGTAGAAATAAACTCTGCTTGGGGATGAAATTTATTGACTCTCCCACGATTATGAACCTCGGCTGGGGACAGTTATGTCCTGTTTCGAGAAAGATGACATCAATGTCTTTGGATACTTTTACTCTATGGGGAGTGTATATACCAATAATTATGTTCCCAAGTTGGCTCTGTCCCGGTACCTGCTGGGCAGAGTGACTGTAAAGTTTGGCACTTCTTGTTTTTTCTTGTTTCTGGAATTACGAGTAATTGTCTTTTGTTTCTTATGTAAATATTTATGAGTATAAGTCATTTTCAAATGCATATATTAAAAATAAATCATTGGATGTTCTTGCAAGACAAAATAGAAAAAGTAAAACGAATTGAAGTTTCTTGTGAAAATGACTTGTATTGATTTTGAAGTCGGCCTGTAACAGGCATTTTGTACAAAGAGGATGACGTCCTAGTAAGAGAATGCCGCCGAAAGAAATTAAAATTTGGGTAAAAGAAAGAAAAACAGCTATGTGAAACAACCCCATTGGGTTGCAACTCTGCTATTGCCTTTATATCTTCAAGCGTCTCATCACTTTGCTACTTGGTCAAAATTGATCAGATTGGTTAGCACCGTCCGAGCTTGATAGTCGATACTGGAGTCTGGTCGTAAGATGATCCAATGAGACATAGTGATACACTTCAATCCCTAACTTTTTCCTGGACAGCCCTTTCGGGTTTTCAATCCACCGGGATATCCTTTTTTGCCCAAGCCTCCCTTTCGGGTTTTCGACTTGCCGGGTGTACAAATTTTTTTTATTTTCATCCCTTACTTTTTCCCGAACCCTTTTGGTTCGCCGGGAAGCCCTTATTTTTTCCTAGGCAAGTCAACCTAGCGGGTCTTTGATTAGGCGTAGTATCTTTTCACTATGTCTGCATTGACAGGGTGAGGAAGGTCGTCACCATCCACGGTTGTTAGAATCATTGCTCCTCCCGAGAAAATGTTCTCAACCACAAATGGCCCTTCGTATGTGGGGGTCCATTTGCCCCTGGGATCACCTTGCGGCAGTATGATGAGTTTGATCACTAGATCCCCGACTTGATATTCTTGGCGTCTGAATTTCTTGTTAAAAGCCTTGATCATTCGCTTTTGATACGTCTGACCATGGCAGATAGCGGTAAGTCTCTTTTCATTGATTAGATTTAATTTATGAAGTCGGGTTTGGATCCAGTCGTCCTTGTTCAAACCCGCATCCTTCATAATCCTGAGAGAAGGTATCTGGACTTCGATGGGTAGGACTGCCTCCAAGCCATATACCAGAGAATAGGGGGTTTCCCATGTCGAAGTCCGTGCTGAGGTACGGTACCCATGAAGAGCAAATGGTAACATCTCATGCCAGTCTTTATATGTCACCGTCATCTTCTGCACAATCTTCTTGATATTCTTGTTAGCTGCTTCAACAATGCCATTCATCTTCGACCGGTAGGGAGAAGAATTATGATGTTGTATCTTGAACTGTTTACAGAGCTCGGTGATCATTGTGTTGTTGAGATTCATACCATTATCAATAATAATTCTCTCTGGCAAACCATATCGACAGATCAAATTGTGTCGTATAAACCGTGCTAGGACGTTCTTAGTAACTGTAGCAAAGGAAGCTGCCTCAACCAACTTCGTGAAGTAATCAATGGCCACTAAGATGAAACGATGTCCATTGGAAGCGGTGGGTCTGATTTCTCCAATCATGTCGATGCCCCACATCGCAAAGGGCCACGGAGTTGTCAAGACGTTTAAGGGGACCGGAGGCACATGCACCTTATCAGCATAGATTTGGCACTTATGACAAGTTCGAGAATGCTGATAACAATCGGCTTCCATAGTGGACCAGTAATATCCTGCCTGTAGGATCTTCCTAGCCATGGTGTGTCCACTAGGATGGGTTCCGAAGGTGCCTTCATGTAAATTTGTCATGATCCTCCCTGCCTCGCTCTTGTCTACACACCGTAATAGTGTGGAATCATGGTTGCGCTTATAGAGGATTCCATTGATGAGGAATAAATTTGCATCAAACCTTCTCAAAATTTTATTATCATTGACAGATGCCCCTTCAGGATACTCTTGAGCCTCAAGATACCTTTTAACTTCGTGAAATCGGGGTTTGTCTGCCACTTCTTCAGTATCGATCTCGTAGCAGTGTGCTGGTTCATCCAACCTCTCAATGGTAATTTGGGGAGCTTCATTGTCCCACCTAACCTTGAACATAGAAGATATGGTAGCTAGCGCGTTCGCCAACTGGTTCTCCTCTCGTGGGAAATGTTCAAAAGTTACCTCCTCAAAATGTGGGAGCAATGTCAGTACATACTCTTTGTAAGGAATGAGATTCAGGTGCTTCGTATCCCACTCGCCTTTGACCTGACTTATCACCAAAGAAGAATCCCCGAATACACTCAAGAACTTGATCACTAGGTCAATAGCAGCTTGAAGGCCCATGATGCCCGCTTCATACTCAGTCAT